TATCGTTCATATTTTTTCACTCACCTCCCCCTCCCCCCCCCCGTCCCTGCAGTATTATTTGTTTTTTACCTTTTCCTTGCTGTGCTGTCTGATAGAAGTGTGGCTTTGATAGCGATAAATTACAAAAATTGTTAACAGTATAGGTGGACAAACAAATATAAGGTTTCAACACAAGATGCTAGAAAACGGAGCCACCAAACAAAACTTTCCGGGTTCGCCAGACAATTTCGTTAAAAACGGCAACCCCAACCCCAATGCAAACTACCCCCCACAGTTCATTGCTTCGCCGCAGTCCGAATTTATCAATTTTTCTAATTCACCCCCTCCTCCTGTCCAAGAAATACAAGCCGCATCGCATGAAACGAGCTTATACAAAGGGGTTCACCCCATCGCTGCCCTCTTCCATGTCTTATTTAAAGGGGCGGCATTTATATGTTTTCTATTTGGTCATTTCCTCACTTCTAGCTATGTCATTTCGATTGTTTTGACGATTGTCTTTTGCTCAGCGGACTTTTGGATTACCAAGAATATTACGGGTCGCCTACTCGTTTCGTTACGTTGGTGGAGTGAGACGCTAGAGGACGGATCGACGCATTGGGTATTTGAATCCGCCCCCAATGCGGCTGAGCGTGTGAGTTCCTACGATAATTGGTTTTTCTGGATCACCCTTGGGGTGAACAGCGGGCTATGGCTGGTGTTAACCATTCTTAATTTGCTGTCGCTCTCTTTGCTGCCGGTGGCGCTGTTGGGCTTCCTTCTAGCCAGCGCGAACTTGTTTGGGTACGTGAAGTGCCGCCGAGACGCAAAGGGTCGCGTAACCGATTTTATTATATCGCAAACCGTGAGTAGGTAAACGCTTATGTTTATAGCAATTTCGGAAGTAGTTTAGTTGCTGCTAGAGGAGGTAAATGGTGCGACCCAGACATGTAGTGTACGTATCAATAGGTAGCTACTTGTACTTCCAGTTTTCCTATAATGACAAAGAAAAGTGTGGAAAATTTGTTTTTAAAGAATTCTTCTTTTTTTTAGGATATTTGTCTGATCGAAATGGTTTATATTCCCGGACGGGAGAATCAAGTGTTGCTCAGTAAGAAAATTTACAGATTAAAGAAATGAATTTTATTTTTGATAGTGTTTATAGACAAGCTGAGACAAAGATGTTCTTATATGATCTCTGAAAGTAATTACAACTTTTCCTGATATTTTGTATTGAATATCGCTATTACTATTATTGTATTTTCTAAAAAAAAAAGTGACTGTCAAATATAGGAGGGAAAGACGAATTTCCGGCATTTATTCATACAAATAATGACCTTTACATTGTTAGTCTCAGGAGCTTTATTGTTTTGGTAATTAGTACCACCTTGCTACCGAGTCCTTTTCTCTGTTTATGTGCGTTTGAAAGGGAGGGGGGAGGACAAAAAAGAAGTCTCATAGCTTACAGAAATTCTTCAAAAGGGGAGCAAATGATGCGCCAGTGCCTGTGTGTGGTGGTTTTCACCCGCCACCAGGCCGTTCGCTCGTTTTCGCAGACGCCGCGGCGATGGGATCACTCTAATGACGGTAGAGATGGTCGTCTGCACAAGTTTATTCGGGAAAACCAACCGCCATCCCAACGAGCGGCCGGCCCCCGAGACCCATCCTCGCCGATGGAGCGCGGAGCTTATTCATCCCCACCAAAGTCCTCCACGACGCGCCTTGGCGCTTCTGAGGGCCACGATGGGAGCGGGCGAGGGCGCGAGGGCCCCACCCCGACGGCGTCGTCCTCCACGGACTGGGCCGGGCGACTTGTAAAGGAGCTCTACGGCGAAACCGACCCCTTGTACGGGATGGCGCACAAGGACTACTACCGGGACCCTGCCACGGGCTACAGCCCCCAGTACGCCCCGCGCGACTTCTCAAGCGGCGGCGCGCTTGCCTACCCCCATGT